GCGAGGGGGAGGGGGAGGGGGAGGGGGAGAGGAAACCGCAGTATGCAGAGGGAACACGGATTTGCTTTTTGTTTTTTTAAATGGCAAATTTTGGATTGACAATGAAAATACTAGTTATTTGCACAAGGCAACTATATATGTGAGATGGAACTCTGGGAGGTGGATATCAAAAATATTTCAACTTTTACATTTAATTTGAGCGCATCATTTATTTATAACATTCAAAATCAAGTTTTTTTTACATATGAATGCGTAATTTCATTAAATTTATAAACAAATTCAAGCAAAAGTACTTATGAAATAAAAAGCGTGCTTCTTGATGCTAAACAAATTATTTTTACATATAGCAGAGAATTCTTTTTATTTTGAATTCTATTTTAATTTATATTTCGATCAAGCTTGATATACTTTATAGAATTTATAAAAAAAGATACAAAGTTCTCAATCTGTCGAGTGTCTCTAATAAAGTAAATATTAAATTTTAAATGGACCCTTATAAAGGCCCACACAGTTTATTGGCTTTAATGCCAACTTTTCAGTTGAGTTAGTCTATTCAAATTCATAGCTAAGCCTTAACTTTCTAAAATTCATTTAAGCAATGAAGAATACTCTTTGGGGTCACCTCTAATATAAGAGTTTTTTGAAATTCACTTTCTATAAAGGCTAAATCTTAAGATTTAAAGCGAAGGGAGAGGAACAGAAGGACAGTTAGAACAACACTGTCACACACATTTCAATAAATCAATAAACTGAGTCAAAAGACGCCAGGTAAACAAATAATAATTGCAAATCAGTAAATACATTAGGAGTGATGAGGTGAGGAAAGTTGCTACAAAGATAATGCGCAAACTTCTACTGAGCAAATTCGTACGATCATTCAAAAGTGAACATATTTTAAAATTTTTGCTTTATGAATACAACTGTTCGATTTTTTACTTTAAACGCTTGAAATATAATTGTGATGAATAGGAGTGTGGAATTCGATAATCCGATTTTAAAACTCATGGGAGTTTTAGGTATTGCTACAAGAATCGTTCACTTAGTGGTGAATTGGCTTAATTAATTTATTACTTATTTGAATAGTATAACAAGTATAACTATTTTGGTAACGCCTTTGAATATAATAATTATTTCGAATTCGAATGTCCGCATTTTGCATCCAAAATTCACATAGGTCATGACCGCAACGTTCCGGGATTCGAGCGAATTTCAATGCCAGGAGATCCAGCCACAGGGGATGTAAGTCTTCAAATTCAAAACCTCGCCATCAGTGACGCTGGTGAATATGAATGTCAGGTTACTCCCAGTATGAATCAACCCCTTCTTCGCAGAAAAACTTATCTCCACGTAACCGGTGTGTAGATTATCTTAAAGCAGATTTCACACTATTAAAGTCAATTATTTAAACAAATTACACCTTGTTCGAATCTCTCGTAGTAATGCCTTCTGTACCGAGAATGTTTGCTTTCGGAAAGGAACTGAAGGACGGGCAAATACGAATTTCCCTTCCTGATAGGGAACAAAGTGTAACTATTGAATGCATGGCTTCTAATGGCATTCCACCTCCGGATTTTTATTGGAAACTCAATGAGGTTCTCCTGCGTAGCGTTCCACTTGATTCAAAAAATCCTGGTAAGACTGCATTTTAGCATTTATTGATTTCAACCATTTATTTTTGTCACAAAATTGTGTAATGGAAAAATGTGCAATAAGTAAAGCGCATTTAAGTAGATGAATATAATTACAGGTTCAAGTTTTTGAAGGACTGTTCAAATTGAGCGTAACGGAAATATGTTGTGATGACTTCAAATGCTTTGAGTTGGAGCGGGATGCGTATTTCACCATGACTGACACGCGTTTGATTCTTTTTGCGCGCGCACCTTTCGTTCTAACACAACTAAACGAATTCTCCTTCTCGTAAAATACTGCATACAACGAAGGCTGAGTAAAGAACACATTATCATGTAATTAGAGATTTAGTTCTAATCGTCACTAGGAGCTGGTAGATAATCAAAACTATAAACTCATGAACGAAATTTGAACTGTGAAAGTACCCAGGTAAGCAAAGATCGTGATGAGTTCACAATTGATAAGTTCCAGACGTAATAATTTCTCACGTTTCTATCATTTTTCTCACAAATTTTCACCAAGTATGACTAAATCATCTCTTGATTTTTTTAAAAAATTACGTTGCTTTTCAATTTTCCCCTCCATATTACCGAATCTCAGAGCCCCGAATAAATAGATTTGAAATTTCAATAGTCAATGGTTTGGAAAACGTATTTCACTGTCTCAGTCAGTTCTATGGACTTCTTGCTTGACAATTCTACACCTTCTAAATGATATTCAATTCCGATGAGATCAAACGTTTTCCTATATTCCTTTTAGGCAGAGAATCAAGTTCCTCTTTCGCGTTTATATACTTTACACATGTCTAGCATTAATCGTTTTAATTGGCCAAGGAGTTTGCTAAATGATGTACTTCAACCGCTACGTCACTGGCCGCTAATTATTTTCCCTCATGGCCACTGAGCATATAGCAACTAATAAGCAATATAAGTTCCATGAAGCACATTCCTTCAGCAAAGATTCGATTAAATGTCGCTTTAAATTTTTTAAGCATGCCGACTGTAATGGCTGCCAACGGATTTCCTCATAGCTTATCAACAAATTCCATCGGTGATAATGTCGACGCCATCAACACTGCCTTCTAAATGCTGGACGCGGCAGTTTGAAAGAATTTCCTCTGACTTTTCGGCCGGGGAAGTATTGACGGGAGAAAGAGTTAAATATTGAAATTTCATAAGATTATTTTTCTAGTAACATAGCCCTTAAAATTATTCTTGCTAGTTATGATTAAAACAGAGAATTCATTTTCACAAAGCATAAATCATTTAGAAAAGTGGTCAAATTAGATTTATTTAATTAACCATTAGAAATCTATCTTCCGTTATTGTCATTTATACTTATTTTCTTCAGTTATGAGACGGAAGTATTTTAAAATTAATAGATCATCTAATCACATGAATATTAACAAATTTTATTTTTTGGTTTAATGGATTTATTTCAGCAAAGTTTTGGCGGAAACTTTAAAAATTTAACACAATGAACAAGGGTAGAATATTGAGCTATTCAAAGCAGGACTAGCCTACTTGCACAAGGAGCAAATATTAAGCAATACCTAAGCAATAAGGGAGGGTTCTTTTGAATATTAACCTTCATTTATTTATTTCAAATGGCAGGCATTTTGATAGTTATCATTAGCCATTTAGCTGACTTCGGGCTTCATAGAGAGGAGGAGGAGGAGGAACATCAAAATGGTAAAAAGACGAGAGGGGGGCAGAATAATGATTCACAGATTTAAAGGAGACAAACAGATACAAAGGCAGAGAGTAGGTAAGGTAAGTACTATGGAAATTGGTCGAGTATGACAAATAGTCGGGTCATGGTAGTTTGAAGTCAGAAGTCAACTGCCGGTTAATAGACTTTTTGTCGTATAAGTATACGTTGCCCAGGATGTACCACGTGGAGGTAAGTCTATTGCACACCCCATATCAACCTTCATAGAACTGCGGATAATGAGATGCAAACAACGTAGTACACTATTATATATTTCTTAGGCTGGCTGTGTGACAATATTCGAGTGGCCGTCATTCGCCCAAGGAAATATCTTCAAAAAGCGCTTGTATGGTGAAGAT